ATATAAAAAATATAGTGTCACACTTATTATTATTAATAAATACACATAGTACATATTATTTAATATATTATACAGGTATATGTATTTATAACTAGTGAAAATTACAAAATCACTTTACTTGAAATATGTAATATTTATAAAATTAAATTGTAATAAAGTCAAAATAATCAATATCCGAAAATGTAAAACCTTATTCTGTTTCTGTATTATGCACCATTATAGGGATACTTAGTATATTATTATATTTATTCTATCATTTCCATTTTATCATATCAGTATTGTATAAAATCTAAGTATTTATGTTTGTTAACAAAACAATTACATTGAATGATAATTGTACACCGTTACTGAATACAATCAATTTATAATGTAGATAATTAATATTTATTTATTAAATAAATTTTAATTCAATTTTTAAAAATGAATTTTTATATACATTTAGTTATAAGATCAGTTTTAATTATAATAATTGTAACTTATTTGCAATTTTCAAATTAAATATCTATATCCTGCCTATAATTTTTTGTTTTTAAATATTTTTATAAATTTTTAATATTTTTATTCCAACTTAAAGTGTTATTAAATAATTTTTGTTTACATAGTATGAATCACACTGATCAAAATGCATTTACCTAATTACGTTAAGAATTTTTCTAGTTCAAATGGACAAAATAAATAAAATAATAATCGGTGCAATATTTCTTATAAACAGTAACTGTTTCAAAATAAATGTATTAACGTCGTATATAATATTTATTACACTGTCTTTTTCCATTATATTATTGGCTGTTGAATGACGGTGAGTTGGTCCATCCAAATCGCATGCGAAAAGTACATTTTGCAAAAATTGTACGCCATATTTTTAACGTATATGTCGATGTTGCATGCCACAACTTTTTTTTTTTTTTTATAGATAAACTGTACGTCTTATTTACATGCGATGTACATATTCTAATAAATATTTAAAGCCAACGTAACGAATTTTCAATAACCAAACGTAGACATAATTTATCACAACCTTATCTAGATGCTATGACACAAGAGTTGATGAACTTTAAGCTTGTTGGTATCTCGTATCTCGTTTTTAATTATTTATAGAATGAACAAGATAATGTAGAATTTTAACTATATTTGGTTGCTTTCATTTATAAGGTAAAAAATTATTTTAAATAAATAAAATCAAATATATTGTATAATTTTTATATATATTATATTTAAAAATAGGTTTAACAAATTCTGTGATAATTACTGACAATGACATGTTTTTCAAGTAGGTATAATGATTTTCTTCATGCTGAATATTTGAATATAAAATAATTGAAATGCATAAATAGTAGTAAAAACTTCATAGTTATGAAATCAATAGATTTTCTGAAACTCAATACACACTTATTTTAAGTGTCTATATCTTTCGTAGTGAATACAAAGAGCTAAAAGTGTTGTCATATATAAGTAGTACATTTTGTATAATTATACAATTATATAAGTAATTACAAGTAATATAAGTAAGTTTTTTAATATTTTTGATATATTATTATCGTCTGGGGCGTATTAAGACTTACTTCTGGGGGGGGGACTCAAATTTTTTCTTTAATTCAGGCTCAAAATGTACAAATAAAATTTTTGGTAATATTAAAATTAGGTGTCTCCTTAATATTTGTGGTTTTTTTTTTTTAATCTAATGCCGGATCCACTTGGAATCGACTTTTGTGTAGTTATTTTTTAACATCTGTCTGTGTTTTGAAAGTTACATTTGTTTTATTTGACTTTTCACTAAGTATGGACCCGACAAAAAGCCCAATTCAGTATTGACAGCTACGCGTAATTTGATTTCGTTATAAAATGATCCACGTTAAAAAAATTTGAAATGTATATCTCACATATAATCAATTCCTTATATACGGATCCAGGGAGTGGCGATCGTCCCTTCACCCCCCCCCACTAAAATACGCCCATGAATACTGTGTGATATTAGATATGCATCGTGTAAATTTCGATTTTTTTTCTTAAAATGAGATTTGACTGTTTAACATTATCTACATGTATATTGTTATTACGATTATTGTATAATTATTAGTTTTTGTAGCTCGTATATGTTAAAATTGTTGCATAGATTTATGTATTAATCAATAGGATAAAAATATCAACTACGAACATTTTAGAACATACCTATAATATAAATTAAGTACATTATAATTTACTACAGCAAAATGCTATAATTCTAAAACGGTTGAAATAGCATTACGAATAAAAAAGGAAAATTAAATAGGTTTGGACTTTGTTCGTCGTTACACGTGTATTTATGCAATTATTTACTTCATATTATACATATTGTACAATGTACATTGTACTTGGATATTAATAGGAAAAAAATTTCTGTTATTGTCAGGTGTGTTCCCGGAGGTTAACTTTTATGGTAGGGAGACTCGGAGTGAGGTAAATTTAATATAAAAAAAGAGAACGTATTTGTTTATGTGACGAAACGTGAACAAACAACTATGTATATAACTGTTTAAAATAAACACAGACATAATTTTTTAATGTTTAAACCATATCAATAAGGGTTTTTTTTTGTTTCATTGAATAAGTTATTAGATATACATCCATATTATAGGTATTTATTCAATTTAAACCTTAAAAACAATATTTCACATTAAGAGATCAATCCTTCTTTTGCTCAAAAAATTTACCTGTTCCAATGCTTTATTGTACCCTGTCAACGTTTATTTTATACTAAAAAATAAAATATAAAAACTGTAGTGATAAATAATTTCGCTTACGTCTGTAAACTATACATTAATAAATCAGTAATGGTCCAATAATAATATCGTAATTCGAAAATTTAATTTTGATTAGGTACCTAAATTCAATTTTTTTAGTTATTTTATACCTTTTATACACTAGAAGGATTTAACAAAATATTTTTTGATCCTGTCAACATGTATGCACTTTATAATTTTCGGTCATGGTATAATTACAATTCTATTTTGTAGTTTTTTAAATATAATGATTGTATTGTTTTTTTCTTTCTCGTTAAAGATAACAAATGTCTAATACATCAAATATTTAATGTTATTTATAGTGTTTAATTAACACTCGAGGCACGCAAGAGTTTATAAATCATAAAAATATTTTGACTAAACATTGAATTGACGTATAGTTTATACAAAAAAAAAAAAAAAAATGATAATGTCATCAAATAAAAACTTTATGCTTTGTAAAATTTAAATAATTATAATACCAGTTACTATTTCATGTTTTGCTTTTTCTAATCAGGAAGTTTAAAAATAATTAAATATATTTTTTTATTTATTGAACGATTTGATCATTTGATTAAATTGTAACAATATATTTTTATCTACAGGACTAGAGCATAATATAGAAAGAATATTTTATGCATTTACGACGATTTTTATACATTTTGCGTGATTAGAACACATAACACTGAATTTCCAATTACGTTTATTTTTAATTGGTTATTACTTCTGTTCGAGACTTATTGCACTAATAATGTAGTTACCGAAAAGTCTCGAACCCCAGTTATCATTGATATAATGATTATTAAACTCATTAGTGTACGGCATTAAATTAATGTATTATTAAATATTCCATTCACATCAATTGCTTTATGAATCATACGTTTTTTTTTTTTTTTTTAAATTTCATTGATTGAAGTTTTTTTCGTCTGGCAATGCATTTAATTGTATAATACTTAGCCATCATATTAGTATTGTACAGAGCTGTTGTGTTCTATTAAATTTCATAGTTCTAGCGATGAAATTAAGCTGCTTTGAAATAAATATTAGAGAGATAATATGAAGGACATACTACTTGTGCAGCAGACATTGTTATAAGGTCGTAATTAATTTCACGCTTATATGGAATGACATTGATTAAAGTACTGCAGAGCTAACGAACAAAATATGATTTCATTTCGACACCAAAGTTTGATCGGTAATCAACTACTGTTTGTCGGTTTGACGTGACCACTGCCCGAACCCCATGGGAACATTTTTCAATACAGAAACAACAATAAAATGCAATGCAAATATTGTAACAGTGCACGAAACGAGAGATTGTGTGTGAAAGAGAGAGAGTGACTGGTCCGACCGCGCGGTGTATTGTTCGTACGTCACCGGCGAACGAGATATGTCATTGTTGCCGGCGAGTACATTGCAATCAACAAGTGACACAAGACTAATTCGTACGTGCGGTACGTGCCATTGGTTTTCGGGAGCGGCATGGTGTATCCGATGCGAGTCGATTCCGTGGCGCGGGTGAACGTGTTAAGGTACCGCACATACGGAACGATCACGTCAACGATAACAGTGGAGGTTTAGTCGGGCGTTTTGTCGCGACGACGGGTTTCCGTCGGGCTTTACGGTCGGCACGGAATCGCGTGTGCACCGCTTGCGACCGCAGTTAGAAATCGCCGGGTAGGGGAAAGGATGAAACGAACAAGAAAAAAAAATAAAGGAGTAATAATTTAAAAAAAAAAAAGCGGTCCGGTACGCTCCCGCCCTAGCACCCGATGCACCGGATTCAACACGGTTCGTGCGGGTGAACGACTAGACGGACACATCAACTTTGGCGCGAACGATGACCGGCGAGTGGGCGCACGCACGAAGGCGAACGGTCGCGCGTCCGAACGCGATCGGAAATCAAAACTCGGACGGACGGGCACGCGCGCGACACGCACACGCTAGACGTGTGAAATCGCGAGGGGAGCCCCGGAACGTCGACGGTTGTGTCAGTGCGTCCGCGGCGGACGGTCGGAAATTATCGGCCGGTGATCGCCGGACGATTGATGTGATGCTCGTCGCGGTCGTCGGGGCCGCGAGGACGACGACGACGACGACGGCCGTAGGTTTTACGCGGGAAACCGGTGCACGGACGGCGAGGACATTTAGCGTCGCGTCGACCGGCCGCACTGCGGTCGCTTGCAAAACAGACGGTCACCCACGCAGATAAAGGGGCAACAACTGAGTTAAGAAAAACAACAAACAAGATAACACGTCCGTTCATTATTGCACGCGCAAGAACAACGCTGAACGGTTATACTGTAACAATGTTGCGTTACCAGTTGCATTAGGATAGTAATAATAATAATAATAATTATAACAGTAATGTTAGTTGTAATAATATAATATTTATAAAAACAACGATAATCGTTATGTCGTGGTGATCATGTACAACAAATCGAAATGTCTGTAAACGTCCTTTTAGTCCAAGTGTGAAATTCAGTCCGTCGTCAATCGTCTTGATTCGAACATTATTTTTTTTATATTTTATATTATTTTTTTTTTTTTCACGTCTTTTGTACTTATCGAATTCTTCAATCCGTGTCTGTAGTTCACAAATGACACAACATGTATTGCCAGCCAAACTGCAACAACTCTACGTCCAAACTGAAAGATGGTAAGTTGATAGATTTTGTTACATTTTGTTGTTGTCCGACCACATTATAATGCTTATTGTTTTTTATAGATCAATGTTTGTCATCTAGCTAATAAAATAATATATCATCTCCTTTTATTTATTCATTGGATAGGTCATTCTCTAAATCAGTCTGTATATTGTTTTATTAATGGTCTTTGTATCTGCATACTTTGAGACATTTAATGCATTTGTTTTAATTTCTGGTTAATACATTTTATCGCTTGATTCTTTTTTACATTGAAAATTTGATCGAGTTTTTCTTATCTTAATGTTTAATTTTGTACCTTAATTAAGGATTGAATGATTATTTGTTTAATTTATGTTTTGGTCATGTCCTATAGGTATTTCATACATTTTACTGCCTTATTTTTTTTGGTATTATAACTATTCATTATATATATTATAGGTATTTAAAGTTACATAGGCACCTACTTGTATTAGTTTCTTGATACAGAAAATCTTATAGATTATTATGCTTTATTTGTTTATTCAGTATGTGTGAGATTGGCATATACATCAAGTACTTATATTTATATCATTCTTAGCAAAAATAAACATTTTCATACTATACTGAAGTTGTAAATATTAAAATTTTAAATGTTCATCTAGTTATGTATAATATTACGTTATTATGTACCATAATTATGTATAGATATATTTGTCTGAAATTATTATTTTTATTTAAAACTGTTTACTTGGAGGTTATAGGTATTTTATTAATTTATGTATATCATATTATTTTAATTATAAATATTTGATTCAGTTTAATAAGGGTTATAAAACATCTGTACATTGTATAACTTATAAAGTTATATTTAATATCAACAATTATTTTATACATATTGTGTATGTATTATAATTTAACATACCAAAGCATATTTTTTGTCACATTTAGTTACAACAGTTAGGTAACACTTAACCTACCACTAAACGATTTTTAAACCCATTTTAATGTCTAATAATTTCACTCAATTTCAAAGAGTGATGATTACTTAATTGATACTCCAAACAGTCTAATCTGAACAAGTTTTGAACAATATTATAAAATTTCAAGAGATAAACTGAGTAATTTTATGTCAATCAATAAAAAATTTAAAAAAGGTTACATAAATTATATTCACTATTATAAGTATCTTATTCTTACCTGATTTTTTTTTTTAAAAATTGTAGAATTATTTTAAGTTTTATAAAATAAATGTTTGTATAATTTACAGTATGATTTGAGACAAAGATGACTTCTTTTTATTACTGATTTGAAATTAAATTATTAAAAATTCTTAGTTATTAGAATAATATGGATTTTACTTATTCTTTTTATAAATTAATATTGGCCAAGATGTGGGAATGACAGAATGATAGTTTAAGCTGACATAGCCAAAATTAGACTACTAGCATCATAGAGTGTAACCACACATGGTTTTACTGCACAAAAATACATGTAATTATTGTTTTTGTACATAACGCTTACTTAACTTTGACCTTATCAATAGTTTGACAAGATATGATCTTGTAAACATTAAATTTTCCATACAAATTTGGAATATTTTGTTGATTATTTGAAGTGTTAGCCTAACCATAATATAATTAAGATAATATAGATACTTAAAATAATTTATAAAAATATCTAAATACATTATTAATCATATTTATTTGTTTCAATTTCAAGTAAGTATTTAAATCAAAAGAGTTGTTCAGAATATTTAAATTTATTGTGTATAACTTTATAACCAGTATATATACACAATATCTAGTAAATATAATGCTATTTAAACTAAATTAGTTATGTCATAAATTTGATATTATGAATATGTATCTTGATTCTACATGTACTTAAACCTGAATTTTTAAAATCAAATTCTAGTCAAAGATAATTCAAATATTTATTTATTTTTTGAAATTGACTATTCTCTATTTAATTATTAAAATATTCATATAGGTTCAATTGTAAAATTAAAAAAGAAATATTTGTGCATACAAATATGCAGTTAAACAAACATTTTAATTTGAAAATATAAGAATTTTTTAAGAAATAAAAACATATTAAACTTAAAATACTCTAAGTGATAAATTAAGAGAATCATAAATTATCAATTAAGTAGAATTGAAAAAAAAAATGCTATCAATGACTAAATTATTTAGATAATCTGGATGATATAATTGAATCAGTTCTAATCACGATGAAGTAGTATCTATTAGTAATTGATTTAATATAGAACTAATAAAGACTAATAAAAAAATCAACAAGTCTGTATTTTATTCTTAATTCTATAAATTTCCTAGAAAATATATAAGTATGATGATTTTTCAGGTAACTGTACTACTTAGGTTACATATCCTTGTATTGAAATTATTATCAGAATACTAAGATACATATTATGTGGAATTTTAAAATTTTAAACTTTGTTCATGAATGCACAATTGCACAATATAGCTTTTATTTAATGTATATAATTAAACCATCATACATTTGCACTATATTATGTACAATGAACTTTAGTTTGGAAAATAAATTCTGAAATATAGATTAAAATTTTATAATATACGGATCATAAATAATTATTTTCTTAAATTAAAAAAGAATGTATAAATACCACATTTAAAAATAATGAAATTCATTTGTATTTTTATTTTATTGATATCTAACTAAATTTTTATTATAAAAATTAATTAATGTTGATATTCAGTCTTATAGTCATGAAAAGTATAAATAAAATCATAAAATACAAAAAAAAAAAAAATATTAAATATACTTAATTGACTTTGTTGTGAAAAATCTTCTTAGGACTCCTTATTTATTTATTTTTTTTTTATTAATGATATTTTAACGTTACATTATGATATCTCGACAATTATGTACATGAATTTGAAATAAATTAAGGTTGGTAAGACTCCTTATTTATAGTACTTTCATATTACACCATTTTTTCAAATGAGCTGGTTCAATAAACTTTTATTAAATTTTGCATTAATATCCGATTAGTGTTGTGTTACATTAAATGTTAAAAGGCTTTACATAAATTCATTATTGAAACCTTTTAAGTATAAAAACACAACAGTGTAACTTTGTATGACATAAGTTGAGTTTTGAATATTTTCATTACCAATGGACTCGGGTTTTCAAACGAACTCGGATGATAATTTACGTTCTAAAATAATTATTACACATCTAAGGGTCTCCTGCTGAGCTTCTGGATAAACGCATACATTATGGTCGATTGCCTTTCAAGGGTGTGAACAGTAATTTATTGCGCCCTCTTTATTTCTGGAGTTTCTCCCCTTTTACCGAGGTTTTGCGGACTGAATATTGTTTCCTTACTTTCCTTACAGCATGCCGTTATATTGCAAACATCACATGAAATACCTCTTATAGTTGTCGTGGTATAACAATGACCTTCTGTCTAGTAATATTAGATTTTATTGCCTAAGGGTTGTTAAAATTATTTCGGATAATAATTTAGATGAAAATACATTTTTACTATATTTTTAGCAATGGATGATTTCGCTATTCTAAGAATTTAAACGTTAATATGTGTACTTCATTTTATTTTATTTGTAATTTAATACAATATCGAAAAATCATGTTATTTTTTCTAATGTTTTAAAAATAGTTTTAGATGAACTGCACAATATTTGTAGAAGAGTAATTTAAATATTGTTTTATATCAAAGTATATCGATTATTAAAGTGTTCAACAATAAATATGTGGTATATATTATATATATGTATTTTTTTTTTGTCACTAAAAATAAAGTAAATATAATTGGTACATTTTTGTAATGTTCAATTCCATTTTTTCGTTTTTGTAATAGTATCTTACCCATTCCATCATAATATTTATGTATTTTAATAAACATTTTCGTTCTATGGAGCTATGGTTTTATAAAAATACTTTGGCTTTACTGTTCCATAATTACATGAATTGTATTAATAAAGCATGGTTTTGGAAGTATTCATGACTACACTTCCTTTAACCATATTTTGTTTTGGATATTCACATCGTCAAAAATGCCATTCTACGTATACTGCGTTTGGATTTATTATTATAGATTTTGTTAAGATTTATGTTGGAATCCTATTTTTATTAAAATATATTTATTCTATAATTAGAGAATTTTTCTATTTGAATAATTATTTAAATTTTAACTATAATTATTTTAAATGTTAGTTTCTGCGAAGATACATATGATTTTATCCAAAATATATCTAGTTAATTAATATTAAACATTCCATATCCAAATTATATATCTGTATGTTCTATTTAATGTAATTATGTAATCCATGAGCATGGGCTGATTTAACTCATAATAAGTATTTTTTACTACCACGTAATCATTTTTAAAATAAGTAACAACCTCGGAAACAACTTATGTACAAATAAATCATTATATACATTGTTTTTTTTTTTAATTTATTTGTCCAAATCAGTTTTAATAGTTTGTATATACATACGTTTTTCCTTATCGTAAAAAAATTGTAGTTAAATTTGGAAGAGTCCAATTTTGTACATTATTTTAGTTTTGTGACATAAAATAAAATTCTAAAGCTTATATGACGGTATTCACTAAAAAGGGATTTTCCATAAATTTATGGATATGGATATTATGTGAGACAAGACAAAAATAGTATTACTATGGAAACATAAAGTAATGATATTTTATGAAATAAGTTCATTATGCTTAATAAATTTAAAATTAGTAACTATTGTAGAATTATAGTGTAATGTATATAAAAAATTTTAGTGGTGGGGTTTTTTGAGCCATTTCAATGTAACCAATAACTCGTTTATCCTTGCAACATATTAAATGTTGTTTCTAATTATAACTAAATTATTATAAAATGTCTTAATTCAAATTGTAAAAAAAAAAATACTAATAATAATAGCGTCTATTAAATAAACATCAGATATTGTATTTTGTCATAGTTATATAAGTATTTGATGAATGTTTTTTAGTTTCAATTAGAATTTCAATGTATTGTAT